CATCTGGCTATAAAAGAAGTCAACATGATCACAGAAAACAAATAAGCTGATGTAAGATGTAACAAAAAAAGAGCTTGTTCTACCCAATTTAAAGCATCTAGATGTGCAACTACAAAGACAGAAATACCAAAAACAAATGATTCATGATGCAAAACGATTACGGACTAAAAGAAGAGTTCAGTCTTACCTGACATAAAAGCTCTCCCCTGAACATTGCCAAATCAATCTGAAAAGCAAAAGTGAACCAAGCACAAAGAACTTATAATTACTTGTAGTATATAACTATAATTTTGGGATCACAGACCGCTCATAAAATTAACACATCCTAGAAATGTATGAATAAATTAGTGAAATTTGGTTAATGTGATAAAACAAACTGGGAGAATCCTTGCAAGAGAGGGTGCAGCAATTCCAACAAATCCATCATTTAGACCAGAATTGCGAAGAACAATACTAGTGACACTCTTGCCAAAAAGCCATTGCCAGATTACAACTTCATTTTCAGGTACATACGTGTTTTTCATTTCAATGGACCCAGATATGAAGCATATAGAACCTACAATTTTTTTTTTTTTATAAATTTACACAACTTTTCAAGAAATAAATTCTACATGAATATTAAAAAACAAAAGAAACTAAGAGGATCTTGAAAGCAGTTGCCAATCGATTGAGAGGCTATTCTTGAGCCAGTATGTCACACAGAATAACATTTCTCAGCAGACAACTGAACAATTCAATTGTGTTGATCAGAATAACTTTGCTTTAGATTAATAAAATCCAAAGCAACAACATTTTTACTATATTTTCTAAGAATAATGATGTCATTTATACCTGTCAACAAACTTTAAATAAGTGAAATATTGAACAAGAAAGCAATATGGATTAAGCGTAACATACTATCAACATAAAAAGCAGATTTTTAGACCAGAGACAGCACATCAATCTTTTACCAGCACCAATCTGAGTGGTTAAAATTTCAGTAGACATGGGTGAAGTGGGATGAGTCACTGACAAGCCTTCCTAGTAGCTTTCTGGTAATATCAAAATGCTAGTTCCAGATCATATGATAGTATCCAGAAACCCTGAGTATTCATTATTTTAGTATCAGGCTTATATAACCACATAAGAGGTAAACGTGTAATTTAAAGACTACAATGCATGCAACTTTTTTCTCTAAAACTAATACATATACATACCCAAATATTTGAAACAATGTAGGGCAACTTACCAGGCTTTGCAATAACCTTTTCCTTTGGTTTTAACATTATCTGACAACCAAAAAAAACAAAACCAGGAAACACTTAACAAATATTGATATAAGAAAATCTTACTTCAAAAGAGTCAAAGATAAAGGCTTGAAATTTTATCAGAAGTACCTGAACCACTTGAGCCTCACCACCCAAAATCTGGAAGGGGATGACGGTATCTTGGGGACTCTACATTAAATTAACACATAAAATTACAAACCATGGAGAATACCAGCAAGAAACGAAAAGAATATAAATAAATCTTACTTCAAAAGAGTCAAAGATAAAGGCTTGAAATTTTATCAGAAGTACCTGAACCACTTGAGCCTCACCACCCAAAATCTGGAAGGGGATGACGGTATCTTGGGGACTCTACATTAAATTAACACATAAAATTACAAACCATGGAGAATACCAGCAAGAAACGAAAAGAATATAAATGCCTCATTTCAGCATTGTTCATAATCATATTATTGCCCCCTCAGTTTTCTCTCTTTTTCCAACAAAAAAAATTGCCATTGAACCCCTGCAACTATCAACTCAAAATCCCCTCAGCTAACATAAGAACTCCATAAATCAAAACAAAACCAATTATTTTGCAAAAAGGTCAGACCTTTGGCACTATCAAATATGCAGAACCAAAATCAAATTTAAAGAATTTGAATAAAAAGTCTCCTCCTTTACACCAAATGAAACCCAATTTAGACAAACTTAACCGAAAGATCTTCAATAATGCACATAAATTCACTAAAAAAGTAGCTTTTTTTTCCCCTCCGCCTAGCAAGAAGTTGAAGTAATCAAAGTCCCCAGATGAAACTAGGCTCAATTTTCTCAGCAACCAAACACACAACAGAACAAGAGAATGAGGGAAAAGAGATACCTGATAAACGTGAGGTTGAAAAGGAGTGGAGAAAAATGGGGCAGCCATTGAGATAACCACAGAGAGAAGATGGGTCTTGAACAAGTAATTCAATAGCTTGAGACTCCGGAATCTATCACTCGGTCTGAGAAGAAAAGCACCTGAAGTCGAGTGGCCGGAGATCAATTTACCGAACTAACCTCAAAGATTTCTGGCATTTCTGGCATTTTGTGGTGAATTCCGTTCCGTCCGACGCCGCTTCGCAATGTGACAGGTAGGAATAGGATGGCACGTCTGATGACACGGCGGTTTCTCATTGGATGAAATGACAATCTCAAGGTTGGGGTTTTACGGAGTTGCTTGAGGCCAAACTTGGAGCAGACCTACCAACAACCCGTTGCTCCAACTGGAAGAAGCTCCCTTCCCTTACTCGAGTTCGAGTCTTGTGAATAGAGAACAGGGCGTTGGAAGAGCTTCCTCTTTCCTAATGGATCTGACATGGTTCAATTCCAGATTAATCCGAACCTTAATACCAAAAAAAACTTCGAGCAGGCCTATCCAACTTGAAATCTAAAGAGATTAGCAACATCCGCCGCCATGAAATCCCTCCGGCAGCCACCAACCGCCATGATATCACTAACCCCATTAAGACCACCCAAAACCCATGTCTTCCTAACCCATCTCGGCACCTCCTCAACTAAGATATTTGATTTGAACTGCTACTTGCTGTTGGATAACTGCTCCTGCCCCGGCTGACTGGATGAATTCCATCGGTTCCAAACCGCGACGTAGTTGTCGAGAGGCAGGGAAAATACTTGAAAACCCTCAGAACTGGCATCCAATTCTTGGACCCGCTTGTCGATAACATTGTCGCCGTGCATTCCTTGAAGGAACAGATAATCGGAATACCCTTGGACACCGTCACTAGTGGTAACTACGAGATTGTGGTTGATGGGCACCTTTATATAAAAGTTGTAGATCCATTTTTAGCATCATATGGGAATAAAGACACGACCTTTGGCAGTAACCCAATTGATTTCCAAAAACATTGCCTTTACGTAGAGTGACTGAGGAAATCGTTTTCAATCCGGAATTTATTCATTTGAAGAAGATGTATAATGATCCATGTGGTGACTGTGAATCCAAAGGAATTTGGGATTTTCCATCGGTTTGGATCTTTTTACAATAAATTTTTCAGACAGCCGGGTGTCGAAATCGATTATGACATTAGCTCCAAAACAAAATTACAACAGTTTGGGGAATAACGTGTTTGTATATTAAGCTTTTGTTAGAATCGAAGGAGTTGAGGGGAAAGGAAGGAAAGTGAAGGAAATGTTTCCCCTTTTTTCTATTTGAATAAAGTGATGATGGATGGAGCGAAAGGGAGGGTAAATAGAGGGAAAATGAACTTTTTTAAATCCCTTAATTTTAGCGCATC